TACAAAAGCCTGTATGCCACAAAATTGGAAAATGTGAAAGAAATGGACACTTTTTTAGATAAGTACCATATACCAAAATTAAATTAAGACCAGGTGAACAGTTGAAATACACCTGTGAGTTGCAAAAAATTAGAAGCTGTCATCAGAAATCTCCCTACCAAAAAAAAGCCCTTTACCAGATGGTTTCAATGCAGAATTCTACCAGAACTTCCAAGAAGAGCTAATACCTATACTCCTTAAGATGTTACACAAAATAGAAATGGAAGAGTCATTGCCAAACTACTTTTATGAAGCTACAGTCACCCTGATACCAAAACTGCACAAAGACTTAAACAAGAAAGAGAATTACAGACAAATCTCAAACATAAATATTGATGCAAAAATTCTCAATAAAATACTGGCAAACCGAATCCATGAACACATCCAAAAAATTATACATTATGATCAAGTAGGCTTCACCCCAGAGGAGCAGGGCTGGTTCAACATACAAAAATCTATCAATGTAATCCATCATATAAATAAACTGAAGGAAAAAAAAAACATAAGATCATTTCATTAGATGCTGAAAAAGCATTTGATAAAATTCAACAATCCTTTATGATAAAAGTCTTGGAGAGATTAGGGATACAAGGTTCATTCCTAAATATAATAAAAGCATTATATACAGCAAGCTGATAGCGAACATCAAATTAAATGGAGAGAAACTAGAGGCCATCCCACTAAATCAGGAACAGGACAAGGTTGTCCACTTTCTCCATACCTCTTCAATATAGTGCTTGAATTTCTAGCAATAGCGATAAGACAGCATAAGGAGATCAAGGGGATTCAAATTGGAAAGGAAGAAGTCAAACTTTCATTATTTGTAGATGATACGATAGTGTTCATAAGTGACCCCAAAAACTCTACCAAAGAACTCCTACAGCTGATAAACACCTTTAGTAATGTTGCAGGATACAACTCCAAAAAATCAGTTGCCCTCCTATTCACGAAGGAAAAAGAAGCAGAGAGGGAAATCACAAAAGAATCACATTTCATGATAGGCACAAATAGCATAAAATATCTTGGGGGTAACCCTAACCAATGAAGTGAAAGATCTATTTGACAAGAACTTTAAGTCTTTGAAGAAAGAAATTGAAGAGGATACCAGAAAATGGAAGGATTTCTCTGGCTCTTGGATTGGGAGAATCAACATAGTAAAAATGGCAATTCTACCAAAAGCAATGTATAGATTCAATGCAATCCCCATCTAAATTCCAACAAAATTCTTCACAGACCTTGAGAGAACAATAATCAACCTTATATCGAAAAACAAAAAACCCAGGATAGCCAAAACAATATTATACAATAAAGGAACTTCTGAAGGCATTACCATCCCTGACTTCAAACTCTATTACAGAGCTACAGTATTGAGAACAGCTTGGAATTGGCATAAAAGCAGAGAAGTCGTCCAATGGAATCGAATAGAAGACCGGATTTTACCCACAAACCTATGAACACCTGATACTCGACAAAGGAGCTGAAAGTATACAATGGAAGAAAGAAAACATCTTCAAAAAATGGTGCTGGTATAACTGGATGTCAACCTGTAAAATAATGAAAATAGATTCATATCTATCACCATACACAAAACTCAAGTCCAAATGGATTAAAGACCTCAATATCAATCTGAACACACTGAACCTGATAGAAGAGAAAGTGGGAAGTACTCTACAACACATGGGCACAGGAGACTACTTCCTATGTATAACCCCAGTAGCACAGACAATAAGGACAACATTGAATAAATGGGACCTCCTGAAACTGAGAAGCCTTTGTAAAGCAAAAGACACTGTCATTAAGAGAAAAAGGGAATCTACTGACTGGGAGAAAATCTTCACCAACCCCGTAACAGACAAAGGTCTGATTTCCAAAATATATAAAGAACTCAAGAAAGTAGACTTTAAAATGCTAATTAACCCAATTAAAAATGGGGCACTGATCTAAACAGAGAATTCCCAACAGAAGAAGTTCAAATGGCCAAAAGACACTTAAGGCATACTCAACCTCCTTAGCAATCAGGGGAATGCCAATCAAAACAACTTTGAGATACTATCTTACACCTGTCAGAATGGCTAAAATCAAAAACATCAATGATAGCCTTTGCTGGAGAGGATGTGGAGTAAGAGGAACACTCATAATTGCTGGTGGGAATGCAAATTTGTGCAAGCACTTTGGAAATCAGTGTGGTGGTTTCTCAGGAAATTCGGGATCAACCTACTCCAGGATTCAGCAATACCATTCTTGGGAATATACCCAAGAGATGCTCTATCATACTACAAAAGCATTTGTTCAACTATGTTCACAGCAGCATTATTTGTAATAGCCAGAACCTGGAAACAACCTAGATGCCCCTCAACGGAAGAATGGATAAAGAAAGTGTGGAATATATATGCATTAGAGTACTACTCAGTGGTAAAAAACAATGACATCTTGAATTTTGCATGCAAATGGATGGAAATAGAAAACACTATCATGAGTGAGTTCACCCAGACCCAAAATATGAATATGGTATTTACTCACTCATAAGTAGATACTAGCCATAAATAAAGGACATTGAGCCTATAATGCGGATCCTAGAGAAGCTAAATAAGAAGGTGAACCCAACGAAAAACAGAGAGTTATCCTCATGATATTGGAAGGAGACAAGATTGCCAGGCAAAAATTGGAAACTTGGGGGTTGGGATGGGGTAGTGGTAAGGGGAAATGGGGAGAAAAAAGTGAGAAGGGGAGGATGGGGAGAGCTTGGTTGAATGGGACAGTTGGGATGGAGGCAGGGTGGATATGGGAATAGAGAAGTATATATCTTAATTAAGGGAGCCATTTTGGGTCGGCGAGAGACTTGACTCTAGACATATTCCCAGGTGTCCATGGAGATGTCCCCGGATAGATCCTTGGGCAGCTGAGGCAAGGGAGCCTGAAATGGCCCTATCCTATAGCCATATCACCATAGAAACTTCATCTGCCGATGGATGAAGCTAGAGATAGTGACCCACATTTTAACACTGTTCTGAGCTCGTAAGGTCCAAATGAGGAGCAGAAGGAGAGAGAACATGAGCAAGGATGTTAGGACTGCAAGGGGATGCCCACCCAATGAGACGGTGGGGCTGATCTAATGGTAGCTCACCAAGTCCAGCTGGATGTTGGAGCATGTGATCAAACCGGACTCTCTGAACATGACTGACAATGAGGGCTGACTGAGAAGCCAAGGACAATGGCACTGGGTTTTGATCCTACTTCATGTAATGACTTTGTGGGAGCCTAGTCTGTTTGGATGCTAACCTTCCTAGTCCTGGATGGAGTGGGGAGGACCTTGGACTTCCCACAGGGCAGGGAACCCTGACTGCTCTTTGGACTGGAGAGGGAGGGGGAAGGGGAGGGGGAGAGGAGAGAGGGAGGTAAATGGGAAGAGGGGAGTAGGTGATAATTTTTAATTAAATAATAAAAAAAAGATTTTCTGGCTTTTTCTACTATGCACAATAGAACATGAGAATTTTGTCCTTTTAGTCTCTGTTCTCTCCCCTTACATATTTTGAAAATACATGTTTACCTGAAGGATCCTTTGGATTTCTATAACCAAATCTCCAAGTGTCCTATTTGAATGAGCAACAGTAAATGATATGAATCCTCAATCTTATCTCATTGCAGCTTTTACAAGCAAGGTATAAACTTCTATAAAGATCCAGTGCACAGCACAATTTGTTAAACTCTGACTGGAGCAGAGATACCCATCTGTCATATTTTTGACCTTGAGATTGGGAACTTCTTCATCCACATTCTACTTAGCTCTTTCTTATGATGGTGTTAGAAGTTGACAAAGGAGATCCGAATATGCCTATCAGAAATAAATTAACATTTTTATTTGAAAGGTAGATGTATAAAATTATATAATTAATGCAAATAAATAGGAAATTCATGCTACCTAAATGCATATTTGATTTCCAATAATAATCTTTTGCCTTCTACATAAGATGACTCTGTTCCTTTCTGAAGAGATATTTTTAATGTTCACTATATCAGTAAGACCATTTCCCCAAGTTTCAATATTGCTAAATTGTAAATTATCATAGACTATGCATTCTTCAAATAACCATTCTTGGTAAATATTAGCCTACAGCAAGGACTTTTTGAAAAAAAAATCAAGTTTGTCTTCTTCCTCTTTTATTTCCAAAAATTTATCATCTTCCTTCATTTACCTTAGTTGTGCATGTGATACTTATTTGTTTCTGCAGGGTGTACCATTGCTTTGGGATACAAGATTCTCTCATCTAAATGTTAATGTTCTCTAGAATTTACACAGAGTGAATTCTGAGCTGCTTTTTGTTTAGTCTGGAAACTGGAGCAAAACATCTGTGGCACTGTTCATTGTCCTCTGCATAAGAATGACTTTAAAAGTAGGAAAAAAATTAATAACTTTAGCCTCAATTCTCTCTATCTATCTATCTATCTATCTATCTATCTATCTATCTATCATCTATCTATCTATCTATCTATCTATCTATCATCTATCATCAATCTATCTCTCCCTTCCCCCCAACCAATTTTTTCTTTTATTGCATGTTTTTTACTCTAAGTTACTTTTGTTGTGATTTTTTTGAACATATTTTATCATTTCTTCTGTAACATTCATTGTTATTCTTAGATAGCTTTCCTAATGTTTCTTTAAAACAAACTGATTTAAAAATATCATGTATTTTAAACCAAAGCTGTTATTAGAGTGCCTAATTGATTTATGTTTGAGTGCTGTCAGATGATAGAATTCAGTGATTGTTCACACTCCTCATGATGTTATTTTTCCCTGTTGATTGACACCAGCTACTCACACACACAGCCCTTGCATTTCCTCATGTATTTGCTGACTGCTTTGCATGGGCTTCTCACGCTCAACCCAACCTTCTAGAATTTATAAACTAAGTAAGCCCTTTGAGTGAGAACTGAGATACAGCAGAGACAGAGGAAGCAAGATGGTGTCACAAATTCAGGTTATCATGTTCCTGCTTCTCTGGGTGTCTGGTGAGAAATTCACAAGTATTATCATCTTCTTAGAGTCACTTCTTTATATATAAGAAATTTAAAATGTGTGCTATGACAGAATATGTCTTAATATTCTGACAATATGACATTAAAAGGATATTAAATGACAAATTTCAACTAGTACTATATCTTGTTTTTTTCATATTATGTATCATCATTGTGTATTGTTTTTTTAAAAAAAAACAAAAACAAGTTTCCTCCTCCTCCCAGCCTCCCATTTCCCTCCCCCTTCTCCCACCCTTCTCCCCCTCCTCCCACCCTTCTCCCCCTCTTCCCACCCTTCTCCCCCTCTTCCCACCCTTCTCCCCCTCCTCCCACCCTTCTCCCCCTCCCCCCACTCCTCTCCCCCTCCCTCTCCAGTCCAAAGAGCAGTCAGGGTTCCCTGCCCTGTGGTAAGTCCTAGGTCCTCCCCTTTCTGTCCATTCCTAGGAAGGTGAACATCCAAACTGGCTAGTCTCCCACAAAGCCAGCACATTACGTAGGTTCAAATCCCCGTGCCCTTGTCCTTGGCTTCTCATAGCAATACTGACGAATATCTTGCATATCATCATAGAACCTTCATCTGGTGATGGATGGAGATAGAGACAGAGACCCACACTGGAGCACTGGACTGAGCTCCCAAGGTCCCAATGAGGTGCAGAAGGAGGGAGAACATGAGCAAAGAAGTCAGGACCATGAGGGGTGCACCCACCCACTGAGACAGTGGAGCTGATCTATTGGGAGCTCACCAAGGCCAGCTGGACTGTGACTGAAAAAGCACGGGATAAAACTGGACTCTCTGAGCATGGTGAACAATCATTGTGTATTGTTGATTGCAGGTGCCAGTGCTGATATCGTGATGACCCAGTCTCCATCCTCACTGGCTCTGTCAGCAGGGGAGAAGGTCACCATCAGCTGCAAGTCTAGTCAGAGTCTTTTAGATGGTAACACTAACTACTTGGCTTGGTACCAGCAGAAACCAGGGCAGACTCCTAAACTACTGATCTACTATACATCCAATTGTTACACTGGGGTTCCTGATCATTTCACAGGCAGTGGATCTAGGACAGATTTCACCCTCACCATCAACAGTGTCCAGGCTGAAGACATGGCATATTACTACTGTATGCAGCATTATGATCTTCCTCCCACAGTGCTTCAGACTCCAACAAAAACCTCTCTGAGATTCTTAACAGATGCCTAAACCACACAGCCCTGGACCTACACACTTCCCCCTGAGGCCCAAGGCTGGTGTGTTCAAACAGTAATTTAAAAGTTTGAAGAGCCCAGTATAACATGAAGGGACCAATGTTTATTATGTCATTAGGAATGAAAACAACTTTAAAAGAAAGTGTTGCAAAAACTCCATGCTATCTTTGTATTCAGCAAACTCTGCTGCTTGAATAGGAGGGATTTATCTTTTACATTTCTGGACTTTCAGTGTCAAAAACAAGATGCTATGGGCAGAAACAATGATGATGGTAAAGGTTTTGAAATGTAGGAAAAATGTTTTTCCTCTTTTAATGGACACTTTGGTGATATTTTATTGTTTTATACTAGTCTACATTTCTTTTTCCCCCTTTCCATAAATTATTTTATTTTTATTACATGTTAGTTAATCAAGTAGTCTTTTCTATGTCTATGCGAGTGTGCATTTGTCTGTGTATATGTGTGAGACTGTCTCTAGGTACATATTTGACATGGTATATTTGTGGAGGTCAGAGGACACTTGGCCATGATTGTGTCTTAGTCCTTTTTGTTTGGGGATCAAAGTCAAGTTTGACATCAGGTTTGGTGGCAAGTGTCTTTGCCATCCAATGCATCTTGCTGCCCCTTAAAATCTTTATTTAAAATTAATTCAAAAAAGTTGCTTCTTTGTCTTTTAGCTTATTTATTTAAATGTCCTTTTCTTATTTTACATATCTATCCCAGTTCTGACTTCCTCTCTTCCTCTTGCTACCCCAACAATCCTCCTATTCTACCTACCACCCATTCCTCAGAGAAGGTAAGGCTTTACATTGGGAACCAACATAGGTTGACACAACACTTTGAGGCAGGACCGGGCCTTCTCCCTGTATTTAGGCTGAGGAAGACATCCCTTAAAAAAGAATGGGCTCCATAAAGATAGTTCAAGCACTAGTTATAAATCCTCATTCCACAGCCAGTGTCTCTACAGTCTGCCCAAGACACAAAAAGGTCATCAACATTAGAAGGACCTAGTTTGGTACTACGCAAGTTTCCCTGCCATCAGTCCAGAGTCAATGAGCTCCCACTAGCTCAGGTTAGCTGTTTTTGTGGGTATGCCCATTATGGTTGTAACCCCTTTACTAATATTATTGTTTCTCTCTCTTTGACTGGTCTCTGGAAACTCGGCCTAGTACTTAGCTGTGAATATTACTAAGAAGTACTGCTTCTGTTTGTTGCTGGATGAAGGTTCTGTGATGACAATAGTCATTAATCTGATTGCAGGGGAAGACCAGTTTAGGCACCCTCTCCACTCTTGTTTAGGGTTTTAGCTTGGGTCATACTTATGGATTCCTGAAAATTTCTCTGGTTCCAGGTTTCATTCTACCCAAAAATGGTTCCCACAATTGAAATATGTCTTTCTTTGCAGTCCCTCTCTGTCCTTCTCTTATCTTAACCAACCCATCCCCTCATGCTCTCCTTATGCCTTCCATTCTTACTCCCCACCCCACCCCTAGACTTCTCTTTACCCCTGCCCCATGCTCCCAATTGAGCTTCACTCAATCTCTTGAATTATAATGATACTATGTGAGGATGCCATTGTCTGAGACATTTCTATCTGTCAAATACATGGAAACAGAAATGTTCAACTTGCCCTCACATTGTCAGTACCTCCAGTTCAGGTGCCATAGAGAAGGGAAATGCTAATTATGAAAGAACAGCAAGTCCAGGAAATCTGAGGCTTTTTAAAAACTGTAGTCCTTTGTGGAATTGATAGTATGGTGAGTTTCCAAAGCGACACACAGTCCACCATACTTGTCTTGTCTTCCATAGATTTCATATTAGAGACATTTATGGAATGTCTGTCATTCTGTCCACAGACCAAGCTAGGGCTCCTATGTTCATTGACAGGAACTATGGATTCTGAGGATATGTTTTTGGTTACGGGGTAATGGTTTCCTCTATTTGTGAAGACTTTATGTTGACTCAGTATTGGATTTGGAGTGAGAAGATGGAGAGATCTGCCTTATTCTCACTGATACTTATTCATCACAAGTTTACATTTCTAGTCTCATAATTCATCCTATTCTCACAGGTCATTACCTCTTTGCTCCTGATGACGTTTAGATTAAAGCGTCTTAGTGTAGCCAACTTCCCCTTCTTATCTGAACACACAACACATACTTTTTTCTCAATCTTATTAAATCCAATTATTTTCTCTTGTTGAGAAGTATCTATTCAAATGCAAAATATGTTGTTGTTATAAGATACAAAAATTAATTTAGGTTAAAGTTATGGATCAGTGGATAAGAGTTCTTCCTGGTCTTACACTGGACATAGGTTGAGTTCCCAGGATCCACATGACAGTTCACAGCCATCTGCCAAAATAATTCCAAGGGACATGATGACCTCTTTTGGAATTCAAGTACAAAAACCACAAATGTGGTATATGCAGAAAATAACACATATACATATAGAATAAATATAAAAATAACTTTCTTAAAATTTAATTCAGAGGGATCACAGTGCTTCTATAGAAGCATTCTTTAGAGCAAGCAGAATAATTGCATTGCAATCCTTACCTGGTGTTTAAGAATAAGAGAAAGTGATTTCAAAAGGCCAGCTAAAAACACCAGCTGGGTACACTACTGAGAATGTTCTAGAGAATTCTTTGCTAATTCTAACGGCCATAGGATGACACAAGAGCAGATGCCCCTTGAGCACCAAGTCAAGTTTTATCTTAGCTGATTTGCATATTGAGACTTTAGCTATGGTGCAGATTGTGCAGAGCATCTTTAAAGGCCGTTTGTCAGTGCATAAGAAGCAGTCTCTAGTGCAGCTCTCAGAGACTGGGTCAAGTGTTCTCCTGGTTTGGGTACTGCTGCTCTGGGTTCTAAGTGAGAAGCTGTAGTGCTGGGAGCAATCACTGTGGCTATTTAGTATTTCATGACTAAATATTCTGATTATTGAAATTAAAGCATTTAAATAGTGTTAGGTTTCCATTTTATTTCATGGCTTCACAGAATGTAGCTCATGACGGCTGTTATAAATTCCACATACATGCGGGTTTTACATTTCAATGCCTTCAGTAAATCTGTGACAGCAAGGTGTGTTTAGCATTTTAGGTTGCACAGGGAACATTGTTCTGACCCAGTCTCCAAGTTTGATGCCTGTATCTCTAGAGAAGAGAGCCACTGTTTCTTATAGAGTCAGAAAGAGTGTCACTGAATATTGCATTAGTTATATCAACTGAAACCAATGGAGAACCCAGGACAGCCTCCCAAGCTCCTCATCACTTTTGCATCTGATCTAGCATCTGGGATCCCTGCTAGGTTCAGTGCCAGTGGGTCTGAGACAGACAGACTTCACCCGCACCCTTCATCTTGTGGAAGTTGATGATACTGTAACCTATTTCTGTCAACAGGGTAATGAATTTCCTCACACAGATCTCCAGGGATAAACAAAAACTTCCTTGGAGTTGCTGCTCACTAAAGTTTAGGATCTGAGCTATGTCTTTTCACTGCACATCTTGACCATGTTATTTTAGAAATCTTGTTTTTTAAAAAGAAGAACCTGTGAAACAGATTTTTAAAGAAAATATGTGTGTGATTGTCTCACCATGTGTGCCTTACAAATTTTCAATTTGCTTCCTTAATTAAGATCTTCATGACACTATTTTCAAAGTGCAATTTTTGTTCAATAGATTGACTAGATAATCATTTAATATATACAGGAACCTTTCATCAGTCACTTAAAATAAGAGCCTTGAATATTGAAGATTGTTAGTTGTCTTCAAGATATAAGTGGACATCCTCACCCAAAGCTACATTTCCCCATGTATTAGCTTGAAATTTCAAAATCCTCTTCAGAAGACCACACAAAACAAGCCTCCTACAGCTGATTTAATGCCTAGTTTCTGATCTGATTCTCTGTGTCCATCATAAAAGCTTAGACTAATTAGTTGTTTTTTCTACTTGTCCAATACAACATCTTTTTTGCTATAACATCTTCCACAATATGGCCACAAACTCTTGTTACCTTTTTTCACTTTTTGGTATCTTCTTAGGTGGGGGAGTACAAAGCTTCAATACATACCTTGAGCTGACCTGGAAATAATTATCTAGCACACAGTGACCCTGAATCTGCAATCCAGCAGGCTCTTAACCCTAACTGCTAAATCCCATGACAGCACACCCAGCTCCTTTTCATATTCTAGTTGTTCTTCCATTACAGGTGCATAAAATCCAGAGGCCCAGTAGTGCAAGCCATGACCATGGAAGCTTTACTTCATAGAAACTCTCCACTTCTTCATGAACTGTCTTTGGTTTCTGTCATTACCGTGTGGAGTGAGGTAGTTCAATAAAACTCTCCTTAGTATCACTTTCTGATACACATCTTTGTGTTTTTCAAGTTTATGATCCTAGTTCAGGACAGTGAAACTGTACTTTAGGACTTTCCTCATGGTGTACAAGAAGTTATCAAAAATTCAGTGACTCATCACCTATAATCTGAGCACAAAATGTCTGGGTCATATCCTCAGGCTCAACAGGTTATAGTCAAGGTAAGGTCAAGGCTGAATTTTTATCCAGGCACTCAAAAACATCTCATGATAAGACCGGTATAGTCCTTTTTTATTTATACATACTGAGCCACAGGGAAAAAGTTAACACACTTATGTGATTCCCATTTTCATTATAGTTCAATAAATTTCTTTTCACATATTCTCTTTTTACTAATCATTCATCTGTTGATAGATACTGGGTTGATTTAAATTCTGACTATTGTGATTAGTGCAGCAATAAACATGTGTGTTGAAACATATCTCTTTTAAGCTGATTTACATTTGTTCTGGAAAATTCAAAGTACAGGAGCAGTTCAATAATATGGTGATTTAATGTTACCACGATAAGCCTCTATACTGAAGTTCACAGTATCTGTTCCAGTTTTCAGTCCCTCCAACACTATATACTGCTTGCTCTTTCTTTCGGCTATGTATTTCCATTATTTAATTGTCTCTTT